ACCCTGTCTCAAAAAAACAAAAACAATAAATAAATAAATTAAATTTTTAAAAAATTGAAAAGATATTTCATGCAAATAGTGCCCAAAGAGCAGATGCAAATTTACAACTATTATCAGACAAAATACATCTCATGCCGAGGCCCCGAAGAGACATTAAAAGAAAGGAAAAATCCCAGGCCAACAAGCCTTATAAATACAGCAGCAAGTTCCTCAACAAAATGTCAACATAATGAACCTCGAAGTGTGTTATTTGCCATGATCAAAGGAGGATGGTTCCTACACTGCAGCAAGGGTTCAGTTCTTCCAAAAGCCACCAGTTCCATGTACAACATTGAAAGGGTTAAGAAGGAAGCTGCACAGTCATCCAATGGATGCAGAAAAGCCATCTGACAAAATTCAACGCCTTTTCATGACAAACCAAAGAAACCCCCAAAACACCAAGTGTAATAAATTAGCAATAAAAACAAACCTTTCACACAAGGAAGGCCATATACAAAAGATTTTAACAGGCAGTAGTACACTTACGGTGAAAAACGGAGAAATTTTTTTTTTTTGTTGTTGTTGTTTTTTTTTTTTAGATAAGATCAGGACGAGGCATGACTGCACCCTTCACCCTCCCCTGTTGATCACGGTGCTGGGAGACTGTACATTCCAGCTGACCCCCAACTCCCATCCCAGGTCCTGGGGCGTTTCCTTCCTGGTCAAGGTGGCCTCTGGTCAACGCCTCATCCCATTCTCTGAGATACTGTATGTTGGCATTCTTGGTGAACATGTATCTGTAGCCATGGTTGCTGGACACAGATGAAATTAGAGTAAGGGCCTGCCCCAAACCTGCCACTGGGGTAAAATGGTAATGATAATAATGATATAAAGAAATAAAGAAATGTATCCAAACTGGAATGAAGAAAGTTAGGTCCACCTCTGGCCACAGATGACATGATCTTATGCTAAAAAGGACTACAAAACTATTAGAGCTGATAAAAACATATTAAAAATCAAGAGCCATTAAATTCTCATAGGCTGACAAAGAACAATCCTAAAAAAAAAAAATCAAGGAACAATTTAACTTATAATGACATAAAAAGAAAGAAAATACTTAGTATAGTTAACCAATGAAGTGAAAGAAGTAAATTCCGAAAACTATAGAATATTGTGGAAAGAAAATGACCTCAGTAAGTCAAAAGATTCCCTCTGTTCACAGACTGAAAGACTTAAGTCAATACGGCCTGAAGCAATCTACCAACCATACAGGTTATAACAGGGTCCTCATGACTTCTTAAAAAGCACAAGTAGAGAAAGCTATCCTTAAAATCCACGTAGAATGGCAAGGAGCTGAGCAGTCAAAATGATCCTGAAAGGAAGGGCGGCACACACTTGCTGGTTATGAAACAGCGCAGAGCTGCTGCAGGTGTGGAGGCAGCGTGGACTGGGCTCCAACCAGTGCAACTGGACAGGGAGCGCAAAAAAGCCTTTGCATGTCTGAGCAGATGGCGTCTTTACAGGAGAATCACCAGCATTTAGTGGGGCCAGACCCAGCCTTTTCACTGACTAGTGGACATCAGTTAAATTAGGATGCCAGACACTGAAGGTGTTTTATCACTTGAAGGGAAAGCAGGATAGACACGTGCAAAAGAATGGAGTCAAGTCCTTACCCAGTACCATTTAAAAACATAACTTGAAGAGCTGGGGGTGGGGTGTTGGTGCACATCTTTAATCCCAGCATTCAGAGGCAGAGGCAGGTAGATCTCACAGAGTTCAAGGCCAGCCTGGTCTACAAAGTGAGTTCCAGGACAGCCAAGCTTACACAGAGAAACCCTCTCTAGAAAAACAAACCCTCAAAATTGATCAAAGACTAAGGGCTAAACCTTTAAAACCTTTTTAAAAATGAGCTAAATAGTTAAATTTCATTTTCCCAAAAATATCCATGAATGAGCAACACGCTCATGACCTGCTGGGACAGCTACAGGGAGAAGAAAGGGGACAGGGACCCACAGTGAGGACCCTGCGTGCTAAATGGAATCAGGCAATGTTGTCGCCACTTTGTCAAACGGCTTGGCAAATACTTAAAACATTCAGCTGAATGGCCACGCAAGCCAGCAATTCCACGTCTTGGTAACTGTCTATCCAAAAGAACACAAACACATCCGCCCAAAATATAAACTCTCTTTCACAAAAGCATTGCTCTCAGTCCCCACAGAGCAGCAATCACCCAAATGTTGGTCAGCTGATAAATGGATTAAAAGATACAGTCGGTATCTAACAACGTGGTTAGCTATGAACATGGCGCACTGATCATGCGACAACATGGGTGGCCTGTGAAGACATGGGAAGAGGGAACACGAAATCACAGCATGCAACGCATGTGATGCTGCTGATACAGAATATTCGAAACAAGCAAGCAAACCTCTAGAGGTGGGGAGTCGGATGGTCGTCTGAGTTTAGAGATAGGAGCAATGGAGATCAACAAGGCTTCTTTGGGGGATATTGGAAACACCCTAAAATTAGGCTGAAGTGATGGCTACACTATTGTAAAAACAGAAAATGTCTGAAGTGGAGCTACTGGCCTCCCTGTGGAGGGAGTTAGATGAGCAGGCCAGCTGGAGAAAGACCCCGTGACCTCCTGGAGGCCTGGAGCCACCACCACAGCCGCCCGGGTCAGACCGGGAGATGAAGGCCGAACAGAGGGCAGATGCCGACTCACCGGAAGGAGCTGTGTCCATCCTTTTTTCTCACCCACCACCCAGATCCCTGTAAAGCCCTGAAGCACCGCCCAGCCCCTAGGATGGGCAGGAGTCCCCATAGGGTGATGGCAAGGAGTCTTAGCAAGACAGCTCTTGGGTGGATAGCAAGGAAGGAGGAATTCCTAGACCTGTGCACTGGGCTCACATCAACACAGACTCCCAAAAGCTGGGGGGAGGGGGGGGATGGACTGAAATTCCCAGAGGCCTCCTGCCATGCTTGGCTAGATGGCCGGTGCTGCTCCATGGGAGATGGCTGCGGCAGACTAGTTTGAAACAGGTTTAAAAAGTCCAGACGGCAGCTTCCATCGCTCAGAAAGACCTGGCATGTCTGCCATGTGGTACTGCAGGCTTCTTTACAGAGGGCTGCGAGGTCCTGCAAAGTGGGGGCGCAGCTGCCGGCGCTTCTCTTCCAAACCCCACACTGCTGGACTCCTCGCCCCTTACTCCGAGTGTCGGCGGCAACACTGAACTCTTGCAATTGTCAGTTCCCGCCTTTTAAAAACTGGACACAGGCAGCGGCAGGGGCAGCAGCAAACGCCTTTAATCCCAGGACTCAGGAGGCAGAGGCAGGTGGATCTCTGTGAGTTTGAGGCCAGCCTGGTCTACCAAGCAAGTGCCAGGACAGCCACGACTACACAGAGAAACCCTGTTTTCTCAAAAAACGAAAAACAAAAGAGCGAGCAAGGGAGCGAGCGAGCAAGTGAGAGAGAGAACAGAAAAAGAAAGAACAAGGCAGGACTCATTTGGGGGCTATTGTGAATACCTTGAATGAGGAAGGAAAGGCTCACTTTCAATACCAGTCAGAGGCCAGGGTGAGCGAGCAGTCCCACGCTGCTTTAGAACGAAACACTCAGACAGTTTTAAGAACAGAGGAAGACCAAACTGCAGATTTTTGCTAATAAACCAAATACTTGTGGTTTGTTTCTTTTTTTATAAAAAAAACATTTTTTTCCTATTTGAGCAAAACAAAATTGTTATGTGAAATATATTAAAGAGCTTACTTTTGTTTTAATGGCTTTCTATCATTATCATTATTTTTTTGTTTTGTTATTTATTTATTTATTTATTTATTTATTTATTTATTTATTTATTTA